TTAGGCCTTAGGGTTGCTAGGTTGAATGACCACAAAAACTTTTGAGGATTCGCGGGCCGCAAGTCGGAGAAAACCGAAAAGTGATCAAAAAATTGCGAGTTTACTTACTCCAAAATTAGTAAACAACGTGAGTTTACCGTTCTAATCAGAATATTATTATGTTGCATGAGTGGCGTTCTTTCAAAAAAGATATATTAAGTCTTCAGTTATTTTAAAATTAATTCCCGAAAATTACCGTTGTATTTTTCGCATCTCGCGTTTGATGTCGCTTCATATTATATTCTTTTGAGACAGATATTACTTGAAATCAAACTAGACACTGTGTGATGGGCAAGGAAATACATTTCCGTCGTGTTTTCCTTATGTCACTTTTCTTGTGACACTCATTTTATTACGAATTGTTATAGTTGAGTAATTTAAAAACTTGCAGCGTGAGCAAGCTTAGTGCCATCGTCAAATAACAACCAAGTCTGTCAAAGTTGGTATTTCGGGACCTAGCTAAAAAAAAACTGGACTGCGCGGCATTAAGTCGGCTTCGCGTTTCGCTACTGTCACATGGCCCACGCTTGAAAACAGAGGGGTGTTTTTACTAAAATAAAGGCACAAAGCGTTAGAAAATCGGGTTTAAATCTCGGGATCTAGGTTGGAATAGCTGAAAAAACGTTCTGCTATTTGATACAAATATACGCTAAAATTGGTCTGTGGGACGCACGGAATGATTCCCAGAACAAAGCGCTAGACAAGTAGACAAAGGCTTCTTGTTTTAAACCGGGGGTAGCAACCTAGGGTAGTAATATCTTCCAGCCAGAGACGATTCACTGAATTATAGTAAAAAACGGCTGTTTTGACGATTATACTTTTTACCTAACAGAATTTATTGTGTGAGACAGTGTAGACTAAATTATAGTATAACCTAACAAGTATATAATTCACAATTACTTGTTTAATAAGCCTATAATTTAATTATAATTAGACGAATAGCAACAAAACGAAGAAAAGTTGATTCTAGGTGCAAAGGGTTCAATGGCGCCGAAAATATTCAAATGGATCAAATTAAATGTCCTTTGTAAATTTTTTTTTTTAAAGTCGATATTACGAGTTGGGCAGTTCTGGCGCGCTGTTAAAATTAACTTTTGATCTGTGTGAACTGAGATTCATCGACCATTCGTTCGGTTTTTAACATTTTAAAAATATGTGCGGCCCGCCAATGACTTGCAACCCTTAATTTTGGCCCGCGAGCAACAAACGGTTGCCTACCCGTTTACGATTGGTGTAGAATAGAGCTCAACTCACTTCTACTAATTACATTATGTCAATGATTGGATGAAATACAACGTGTTTTACATTTTCACTCTGGACAACAGACACAAACATGAACGCTCACCTTGAAAACTTCAAAAAAACCGGAAAAGTCATGACGCTCGCAATTTTCACACGGCTAATTTTGGTATAACCACTGGTAGTATGTTATATTGGTGGACGGCAAATATACTCGTATACTAGTGGGCTAACTATACACATTTCTGCCTATAAACCCACCACCACATTAAACTTCAAATTACCCTTTACCCCAGTGTTGAAAGCCTATCGGCGTTTGTGGCCGTTTCGTATTTATCATCAAGTACAGTACATTGTCTCTATTTACTTATCATCAATGTGAAGGATGATTTTTTTTGTTCAAGTAATGTCAAATCAATAGTCTCGGTTAAATCGACACAGCCTCGAGCTCGTCTTACATGAATTCAGTATGATCTGGCGTTTAGATGTTGTTACTGGTCATGAAAAGAAATTAGCCTTCAGCTGAAAAGTCGGCTCTTCTAACGATTGGCGTATTCGCGGCTATTGTTTTAAAAGTCGCTACATGGAAATTTCCCAGAAAGAAACGGGTGTTACTGCATGCGCCTCAGAAATCGCCACGATAATTAGATTGTGTTGAAGTGATTGCCTCAGATGCACTTGTATTTCAAGGAGCGGGAATACCAGAAAGCGATACAGTGCATATTGGAATACAACTTTCAGCGTTACCATATCCTTGATAAAAAAGCTAACAGCCAAAATCCACAGTGCTGTATACAAAATTAAATATACAAGATTATTTGATATAAACTTTCCAATGTTCTAAATTTTTGTACTCGGGGATTTGTGCGGCGAAACAAAAGATAACGCGAGCGTATGGAGTTTTGTATATGCGGTATTTCGGCAATCGTTTGCATTGACATTGTGACGTGAATAGACGTAATTTTAATATTTGGAATGACCTATTCCGATTGGTGTCAGGGATGACATATGCAAACATCGATGTTAAGTTACGATCACGTCTACTTCAAGCACCTGTGGAACTAACTATACTACCCCATGATTGACCTTTGTCTCGATTCGCAATGTCACTTTTAGTTATTGAGCTTCTTTTCGAGACTCTCCTAAACCACTGAAAAGGATATATAAAATTTAGTGATTCGTATCATTTTTTTTAGACAAGATAGCGCCAAACAGAGCAATTATTGACAAGCACATAAATGCCTTATCTGAGGAGAAATTTAACATGATATTCACCTTGATGTTCGATTTCTTCATTGAGTTTGTCAAAAGTTGAAGGTTTCTAACAAACGATTCCCGAGACGGATAATATGACAAATACTGAAGTTTTGAGCAACGGCTCAACACCGAGGCAATGATATCAGGGTCTTCAGCGTGGAGAAATTCAATCTTCTTTATTTCATCATACTGAACTCTGTCACCGTATTTGTGAAGATCGATGAATATCTGATTCGCTTCGTTACTATTCACGGTGAGTCGATGAATTCTTATCTGGATGAGAAGACGACAATGTTTAACTTTCTATGTGTTGCAATAACACAGACCACGTTATTGGACAGTTATATTGTAGCCCACAGCATCGCTAGAAAGTATCGCCTGTTTGTTGGAGGGGAATTTTCCCGCGAATGTATGCTGCAAGTTTTGAAAGTCATTTCTCTTGATATAAAAGTAAATTTTCCGGCATCAGTTTTTCTAACAACGGGTGAACATATTATGCACACACAGAATTCTGAACATCAACAAATCAGAACTTCGATCGAGACTGACAGATAATCACTTGAATGCGTTATTGCGAATAGAATGTACCAAATACGAGCCACGTTCTGAACATCTTATTTCGATAAAACCATAATTACACTTAGCCTATATTATATATATGCTATATACAAAAATACACAACTGAATTATGTTGAGATGTCGTTTTTTTTATATTATATACATCGGGATGGTTTTTGTGTAACGAAACAAGCCATAAGTATCCATTTAGCCGTATGCCAGATCTACAAGCAACTTTATTAGTCACTATCTGTTGCAAATTCGTTGTTGATATTTGTGCTTGTTCCTCAGGTATCACCAACTATTATAAATATTAATTTGATTACATAACAAATTGCGATGCTAGGTGTATCTAAAATCAAGCTTGCAGCTCTTTGTATTTGCTTAATTTTTATAATATTCTTAAGGCACGCTCAAACCGTACCGTCTTTTCTAGTCCGCGAATATCCGTTTACTTAATTTTTGGCCCGCGGTCAATAAACTTTGGGAACCCCTTGTGTACAGTATTATAATGACTGAATGAACGCCAGAGTGGGACTTTAAACTGTCCTGCCGGGACAAGACGTTGAAAAGTGGGACTGTCCCGCCAAAAACGGGACGTATGGTAAAACCTAATTACATGCTGCTTCTTAATTCTGATAATAACCTGAAGTTTCAGACGTCTTCACAAATGGAAATAAATTTTAAGTGAATATCTGGAACGGAAATACGTCAGGCCATATTATATTTAAACCGTGGCCTTAGACGAATCAAGAGCTCATGACGAGGCTGGTAATCCGGGTTTCAGGCAGATCCGCAATAACATACAACGCCTACTTGCAGAAATTTGAAATTTGTAACAGAAAATTAATTCCCAACGCCGGACTACGTTTTAAGCACTTTGTGCGTTTGGCTATGGTGGCGAACCTCTATGAATACACTAAGCATACAAATTCAGAGCTTCATACTTATGTTTTCTGTTCACATATTTCCTGTTTATCTATATGGAATCTGCCAAATACTTAGAAACTGCCCATTGATATCGACATTAACTAAAATATACACTCTAGCACTAAGATATTTGTTAGAAATGGCAATGTGCTTCTGAAACTGGAATGATGTTTATTATTACTTATATATAATCTGATATTGAATCGACTGCATTACCGCAACGTTTGTGTCTTCGAGAAGACTCTTCAGAACATCGATGTGTTGGATATTGAGAGTTCCTAACTCCATATTTCTGCATTCAAAGCTATTTCTGAATATATAAACTTTTTGCAGAAGTTCGAGTAATTCGCTATCCGTTTTGTCCAACAATTTGACATAGTTCGAATTTATCTGATGACAAATAATAATCATAATTAACCATGATATTTTCAAAAGTTAAAAATTGCAGACTAACAAGATCTTCATACTTATTGTTTGGTTAAGAATGTATCTAAGTCATTAGCGGTTCCAAGAGAAGGTCTTGAAATGCTCAGTGACGAAGATATGTCAAATCCGTCATATTTTGGAAACAAAAGGACAAATAAAAGCAGATTCTTTAGAAACTATGTCTTTTTGCAGCGCATGAAGTTATTTAAAATATTCAGAACTATGGACCTTGTATTATTTGGTTATGAAAATGATGACCACAATGAATTATCTAGCCATAAATACATACACTCACTGAATGCATAGTTTTTCAAAAGTGGATGCCATTAAAGACTTATGAATTCAATTATTAGAGTATCTAGTCTTTCACGTTACCCTTAAACTACTTTTTGGACTTTGAATTAGGGGTCTGTAGAACCCACTTTTAGAACCCCCGATATAGACTAAATATGGCAGAGTAATCGAGCGTAAAGATTCATGGCCTAAGGGTTTTTATATGTTATATTAAAACCTACCGTTGTGTCAAAGTTTTCAAAAACGCACTCCAAATCCGGGATATGAATTTCATTCAAAGTGTTCAGTTGAACGGCATTAAAATGCATTTTTTTCTTGTATTTGGTAAGCACCTTCAGAAGATTTAAGAAGATGCCACTGTCAGTGATCGTTTGTTTGATGGTTGTAATGTTCACCTGTTAAGGATTATTTAATTTGTTGAGTTTAGAAACGAACGAATTACTTCAGGTCTTATTTGATTTATAAGTTTGTGTTTGCCGTGAAGCAGTCTTCGCCGGAGTAACCCAAAGTAGCTCATGCCACATTTATCAGAAATGTTCTTACTTTCTGTCGATATGGCCCATGGAATATAACGGGATTATTTCGTATCCATAAAAATGGCGAAATTTGTTCAAAATATACTATGTAGTAAAATATTTTCACAATGTCGTATCAATAAAAATAGCATTATTGGTCGATGGCTAATACAAAGCTGTACGGAAAAAGAGTGTGCGAGATAGGTCATGTTAAGTGAATTAAAAAATGAAATACTATCAATCAAGTTTCTTCAACCTCGAAACATTTTTTTATTAAAGCAAGCGGCAATATTCGAACTATGTCTTAATACAGACATACTGAAGATGATTTTACAACGGATGAATACAAAAATAACTGGTAATTTAGTATTTGGCAATTTCAATACGGCAGACTCAATACTTTGAGATGAAACTAATTCAGAGATCTAACTCGACATGAGTACCAATCACAATAATTCAATCACCGCAATCCGAGATTCAGCTAAAAAGCCTTTCAAATCACTGAGTTGTTCTTCGTTTATCGTCCCAAGACAAAGAGATTTGACCCTTTGAAAAACTGAGTCGCACCGAAAACGACGTGGAAGTCCGCAGCCGAGAGTTGCAGTTTATTTAAGTTGATCAATTCCATTGGCGAATCAGCTACGATTTCTTTTGCGCTGTCATCGCATTGATGCAAAGAATGCAAAAGTTCAAGAAGATCTGGTTGCTCAAGTTCTGGGTTTCGGAACTGTCCTTGAAAACTTTTCTTTAGTGCGTCTTGCTTCAATGTAAGAAAATCTGCCAATGCTATAAAAACATAAACACTTGAGCGAGATTCGTCGAAACAATTGATTATTTTGTTCATTTGTTATTTGACTTCACCTGTATTATCTTTTTTTGCTTGTTCAGGTGTGGCATCTTGTTTAGCAAACTCTAATTCTGTCGGCGTTCCCGCAATTGCTGGTAAAGGTTAAAATATATTTATATTCATCTGTTAAGATAACAAGCAGAGCTCAAACCTCCTACCTGTAAAGCTGACATCTTTGTATGGGCCGCTTACTGATGCACCAGACTCTACATATTGTGCTGCGACAATATGCTTCTTCTTTTCTGGTATTAAAATAAAAATACATGGTAAATAACTTAGTCGTCCAATTACCTTCGAATTCAAAAATCTAATAACTTTACCAATAGTAACCGGACCCTGGTAAATATGTGTGACTGTCCTTTGAGGTGTATTTTTTTCAGAACCGGACGATAATAATTTAAAATCTGCAAATAAATAATATTGTTTTTGAATTTCCATGTTTTTGATATCTAATACAATGCATCGATGTGTTATTGAAATTTGTTCGCGCAATTTTTTTTTTGGAATGAAAGATTGAATACCTGTTCTTAATAAACTGACTGATGGGTCGTTTCCCTTGACTAATGTGCGAGTATTATCGTTCAAAATGATTCCACTTGTTATTCTTCTAACCATGGACCAGTGTGCAGTATGAAGAACGTTCAGGAACTTTCGGAATTCCTCGATTGTCATATCGATCACTTCCAAACTGGCCAGGGCTTCTTGAATGCTCTGGTGGCATAATATATACTTATAGTTTCCTTCGACAAGCTTCTGATTTATTCCACTGGTACCTGGATAAATGATGATCAGATCTTGTATATCTTCAACTGTTATTTCTTCGGGTAAATCTTTTTTTGTGAAAGTGACTTGACCTTTTTGGGTTGCCTGGAAACATGTTATCTTTAAAGCATCAATTACTTTGTGGATGTCTTCCTTAGCACGAACGTGTTCGGACACTGTCATATCGCGTAACACAAGCAAAAGAATTTCACTGAATGTTTTAGGTGGATTCTCTTTATGCCTGGAAACCACCAGAACCGTGAATACTAAAAACATCGGTATCGTACAGATGGGAATCAAAGCCGGTGCTTTCTCTTGTAAATGATTCCAGATTTTATCGCCGTCATCTCCCCCAAGCTGTTTGACGAGTATTTGTACCGATTCGTATGAAAAGCCTGATAAAGCAATGACTTTATCCGCGCGGACACTGCCATCAAAGCTTCTTATTCCGTGTTCTCGAGACGAATATAGAACACGGATTCCAGGAAGAAGATTCCCTGACAATAAACCATTCAGCATATCTGTTGGATTCATTTTGTCTCGATAATTACTAGTTCCTTGATTTTTTCCTAAATCTTTTATGTTTTCGTATTGATCTGCCCCATCCAGCACTAGCATATATTTGTTGGGATTACTAGCGATCCACTCAATACTTTTCGTTCTGTCACTCGGAGCCATGTTAACGTTTCCTAACAGGAGACTTCCCAGGGTTAATTTCTCGTCTCCATGAAAGTCTCGAAAGTTCATGTGCTGTATAACTTCAACTTCCTCTAGCCCTGGAATCTTTTCATCCATCATGTCATTCGAAAACTTTTTCGTCATCTCGGTTTTACCATAACCAGCTCCCCCTATTAATGCGACTCTTCTAACATTCGGATCTTTGAAGAATTCGTCTGGCGAAGTATTTGTTCCTCCCTGGGCATGTTTAAGTGGACTAAATGATTTCTCGGGTTTGTATTCTCGTTCGTCGGCCCCAGTTTCGTAGAAATGAACTTCCACTAAAGTAGGCGTAACTTGAAAATCATGTTGCCTTAATCCTGCAATCTTAGAAGGCTTTGTATTTTTTCGAGTGGCCTCATTGACTTCTCGTTTTAGGCGTCTACGGACTGAAAATATATACGTGCTTTAAGAAACGAAAAATATCTGTTCAGCTCGAATATGTTTCGTGATACACGCAGTCATTATATCTGTACAGTTAAGTACGCAATGCAATTCGATAAAGAAATGTCTGATATTTAGCATAATGTTCGTTTATTTTATTCGACATTTTTCTACAATTAATTGAAGATAAAGATTCAGAATTAAGTTCACATAAGGCTTATCTAAAATACTCATCCATTGTGTATATATCGCGTTTAAATCAGCAACTCACCAAAGAAATTCCCTGAAAGAAAAGAAGCAAGATCTATTATAAATGTTGAGATATGCGAATCATCCAAAATAAACTTGAGAAATATATTTACCCATTTCTTATTCTTTCACGCGTATTGCTTGCTGTTATTGCAAATACTATCCTAGTTAACATGCTTAACTAATACCTGGAATGTAAGTAACAAAAGGAATACTTTAGGAACGAGAGATTAATTCCCGAATACATGGGGCCGTTGAAGACTATACGTTACAGCTGCCTATTAGCATGTAAATATATGGTGCATACCACGTGATCCAAATTAAATCAATCGAATGGAAAATTTTTGTAATCATGTCATTTGTTTTTTAATTTTTTTTGGCTAAAGTAACTGGGTGAGGGAAAAAGTATATGTGTATTGTAACACACTCATGGGGTAAATGCTTATTTTTACCCACTAAAACTAAAAGTTTATACAGTGAGAGCAATATACTGATACCGATTCTCGTACGAAAATTTGTGTTGTACCATTTCTGTGATAGTTTGAAAAAATAGTAGAAATTAGTAGATAGTAAAAATATGATAAACATAAAGCATGCGACATCTCTCGCATCTTGTCGTGAATTTTAAGACGCTTCTTTTGTTATTTGCTTTTAATTTCGGTGAGAGGCTGAATCTATTTGTAGATACATAAATTTTCCTCAAGCAGATTATTGCGATGGATTTTAATGTCGATTATTAAACAGGTATCGTACGCAGATTGCTGAAACCATTTGCTAGCTATATTAAGGAAACAGTTTCCTAATAGTTACGCCTTCTGTTTGAAAGAACTAGCCTTTCCATCTAAATATTTATTAACGAGAAGTTCTTTACAACTTTGATAAATTGAATATCAAGTAGATTTAGGCGGAAATTGAGAAACAGAAAATAATGATTGAAACTCTAGGTAAATCAAGTTATATTTAATTAGACTAGAAATGATTTCTTTCTTGTAAATAAGCAGAACACACGCGGAAAATTGGATACTTGTCAACAATCTATTGTGATATCTTTCTGGAAATGCTGCATAACTATTGCAGATGCAATTTCATCTAGAGACAAGTAAAAATACATTCGAACATACATTTGTGTTTGATTATCATCTTCTGAATTGTTACTTACTACTGAAAATGATGGATAAGGGTTATAGAACACGCATATCCTAATTGACAAAACAATGCTGATGGAATCATTAAAACACTAATGCGATAACAAGGGCCTAAGAATTATTTAAAAAAATGCGTGGTTTCATCGGTTCTCTATCGGTTAAATATAATTCACCAGGCATTGAATTAGTTCTACTCTATATCGCTTCTGATACCTAGTAATCTTTATAAATATCTGTACATGAATTGCGTTCTAACTATATACAATGTTAGATCTAAGTGAATTGTATGTTTCCCGGGCGACGAATACTTATTCCTAACAACACATCCCCTCTCTCTCTAGTTATACATTACACGGATGGCGAACTTACTTTTTAACGCGAACGACTAAAATCTTCAAAATAACTCGCGAACGACTGCTCCGTAATACGATCGTACACAGTAAACTGTACTGAGATAAGTATTGATAACTTAACACACGCATACAAAAAAATTATGCTGCCAAATTGCTCTGCTGTGTGGGCGCATTCCTAAAAAAAATCGCCACAAAAATTTATATTTTTAATGTTCCATTCATTTTATTATTTGATTTAGTTTATTGTACCCGGGGTAAACGTTTCATCATATATTTAAGATTTATTTAAATCATACAATTCGATCTAAGACCTGCTTCATTTTAGTCGTGAGCAGGGGTGTCACATTCAGAATTTCCGATGATACGGCTAATGGTCTGGTCAAGTAAAATATTCAATTTATGACACCTGTATATGAATTGCGTTCAAGTATATACTATGTTAGATACATTCTGAATGGTATATCTTTACTGAGCGACAAATACGAAGCTACTATAAATATTATTTCTAACACCCCTTACTCTCTAGTAATATATTAAACAAACTGCTAAAAATACAAGCCTGGCATGAGGTTTTGAAAAACACACCAGTTAAAATATATCAACTTATATGGATAATATTGTTGGATTCATTGAGTCTTATAGCCTGTGAATAACATAACATTTTATCTAACTGTTTTTTATTGTGTCATAGCACTTTAAATAGAGAAAATTTATTGAAACCTTCAATTCAGTAACGCTTTCATTCAACTGAGAATCAATCACATACCTAAATGGGTGTTTAGACAAAGCCTCAAGACAGGCACAAACAGTAAAAATTATGACCCACCTTCTTCTTCATTCAAATACAGTTTCTTCTGTGCTTCTCCATTTCAATACGTGATTTGTTAATCATGCATGCAAATTAGATTAGAAACAAATGCAAACCAAACTGCTATTGCTAATGCCTGAGTTATATACTCTGAAGCCGAAATATGACCGTGTGTGTTTTCATCAATTTGCTATCGCACAAATAAAATATTGTTAGAAAATTTCGACATTATGCCTTGAACGAAAACTGTCTGTTATAAACCAAATAGCGAAATTCCGATATACCGATGCTTTAAAACAAACGTGTGCAACATGTGACCCGTCGGCCAAATACGACTCCCAAGGAAAGATTGTGCAGTCCGCAGAGAAGTGCCAATTTTGAATGGTGAGCTCGAGAAACGAATTTTTAAATTAGTTTAATCTAATACAGGGATGTCCAACCCGCGGCCCGCATGCGGCCCACTGGAAGAAAGTTAAAGTTCCATACAAATACGGACATATTACGAACATATTTAACATAAAAATTTCCTGGTATGATATCAAATCTTACTTGAATTTGGGCTATAATTTCACGCAACTCCGCCATAAGAAAAGCGTTGTTAAGCGGCACAGAACATGATTTCACAGAGGGCCACTCAAGCGTGCAACATCTGGCGATACAATGAGTTTTCTACCCATTGTAAAGTCATCAAGATTGAAGTCACATATCGTTACTTTATTTTATCGATGGTTGTTGAACCACAAAAACAAATCCACCGGTATGTCTGGAACAAAAAAGATGAAGCTTGAGGATGAAAATAGGAAATATCAAAAGAAGTAGGAAGAGCTGTAAGACAACGATGCCTAATATGCCGTAAATCTGTTTCGAGCTTGAAGTCTTATAATTTGAAATTTAGCATAGAAGTAGGCTGACGAACGGAAATTTGACAAGCCAGTTAGTTACATTGTGCGGTATAAAACTACCCGTTGATATTAAACAGTTGAGCAATGAAAATCAAAAGCTAGTTTCACACTAGTTGAAGAAAAAAATTACTGATTTTTTTTTTCGTCTGATTTTTTACGCTAATGTATGTGCATTTTGCACAAAAGTTGAGTTTCATGGTCCATGGTCTTTGTGTGCATCTTGTGTTCGGAAATCCAAGCGTTTGATTTAGCGACGCTCAAATTCTAACGTAAATCGGAATTAGGTTGGTATAAATTTGGTAAAAAGGTTTGCGGCCCGCAATGAATTTCCCCATGAGGAAGTAGCCCGCGACACTAAAAAGGTTGGACATGCCTGATCTATTACGTGCTAGTAATTCCAATCCCTTTGCGCTACAAAGCCCATACTTGAGTAGAACTTATTATATATGTCTATGACGTTACAATGCCCAAACCACTAGCTTATGTAAAGCGAACAACGCATGTCATTCGATCCTTAACCAAAATGTTTGTGCCTGCAACTGCTAAAAAGCTTGTTAAATAAATGTTGAATAACGGTTTAATTTATCGTGTAAATAACGATGCGGCCTGTGGTTTCACCCAGTTATTTGTATCTGGCCCTCTTGTATAGAAGGGTGCACACCCCTGCTTTATAGTAACGTAACTTTATACCAAACGTAAAAGAATTTCAACATCTGGCATCGGCGTGTATTATCATTTATATTTGAAAAGCTCTGTCAAAACCTCCATGACCTTCCTGATACAAACTTTTTTTTTAAAATAAGCTATTCAACATAGATGTGAATACAATATCTCGATTCGCCTGACTTGACCAATGATAAGCTAAATAGTTTTGTGAGATTATAGTTCGGCAGATAAGGGGCCTTTTTGGGCCCAACCTTGTTTTCAGACATAAAGTTTTTTTTATTTGTGATTATTCATCTTGGGGTTATTGCCTATCATTTCTACATGGGTGTGGAGTTTGCAGCCTTGAGCAATTTCATCAAACTTGAAACCTAACCTGTTACAATACTATGTTCAGGCTGTGCGCCATCTTGGTGCACAAACTACAGAAGCACCAAATTTACTAGGAAATAAAAATCAATAACTTTTAGGTATTTTTTGAACTCAGCTTTGGGTCGCGACCCATATATATGGAAATACTGTTGAAATACGCGTAAAATAACGAGTACTATTTCAAAATATCCGCTTTTGTTGCAATTAACAATACAAGCCTGCTAATAGTCGGCAGTAGTTCAAGTGGATATACATCCGGTGGAGAACAGTCAATTATTTGTTAGCAAGGATTCTTATGCAGCGGGATGATCACGACGATGCAGTGAAAGATAATGCTATCACGTGAACAAGAATGAGAAAATTGCTACATTTTATAGTATATCCCCGGGAAAGAATGTAGTTCATTCTTATGTTCCATGCCAATGCTTTTCAAACTACCAAAGACTTTCAACACTTTTGCTTCTTCTCTTCTATAAAAATACATTGTTAATATATATTCGCATTTCCATCTGTTTGTTCGTGCTCCCAGATGACCGATGTATGATTATTTCCTCAGTTTAAATCTTAGGCTGTTTGTCGCAATGTGATAAAAGCAATGGACATATAGCGACTGGTACGCTATATTCATCTCGATTCCTGCTAACTTTTTGGTTCAGCATGGCCTACCCGATTTATTACGACATTGGTAAAAGTCTAGTAATGCGGGCAGTCGTAAAATCCTAAATTTTATAAACTAATTCTCTTTTATTTCGACATGAACAGCAGGTTCCCCCATTTCAGAAAATATATGCATTCTACTACGTAAGCTGCATAAACTTCTAACTTACGTCTAAAACAAAAAAACAAGAAGGGTATTCTAGGGCTGGGAATGGTTAACCGGTTACCCGATTTAATATGGTTAACGCTTACGATTTATTTTAACCCTTAACTGACATCTCAGGTACAAATCATCTCTATAACTACAATTTCCTCAAAAATGATTACGTCATCGCAAATTTATCTCCTGTGGCGTTTAATTCGAAAGAATATCACTTATTGTATTTGTGAAGACCCAATAAATGTGAACATTAATTGAAGTACCAAGATTGCTGATTATGAAAATTTGACAATGACAAATTCAGAATCAGTTTTCGGTCAAAATATATTGTTCACGATTTTATTGCAAAATCGTATATTAAATGTCATCCAACAAGTGCGCGGTTGATGCGTTTTTTTTTATGAAATCTTAAAGTAGAATTTGCACATCGAGCAGTGAAAGTTTGCGTCATTTTGGTACGAATACTTGAAATCCATTTAAAAAAATTGCTCAACATTATATACTCCACACCCACCTGGGTATCTAAACAATAAAAAACTTTATGTCCCAAAACAATGTTAACGCCCGATTCTGCCGGACTTTTCGTTACAATCTTGGATATGTCGATTGCTCTTGCCTATTGCTTTCATCTTTGATATTTATCACCTGAAACCTTCTACATATATTTATATCTAATTGACAGATTGATGGAATAATCAGTCGGCAAATTATAGGATTCGAGCCTAGGTCAGTAAGTAATCTCTTTGGAAAATTTCACACTCAAGAACTGCCAACATCGTAATTGCTTGTTCACAGAGCCTTGTTATCAACAAGATATGGAATGTCTAAAAAAAATATATATACAATAGCAGACAAATATAATGCCTTAACTTAACTTAGCTTCATAAGATTTCATATAAATGATCCCGAAATCAGCTTGCTCATGTTTGCCCCGAACCAAAACGTTATGAAATATTAAAGAATGAGGAACTTCTATTTCCAGGTACTAATTTCGTATCACTGTGTTATTGTCTTCACTAAGCCTATATAAACCCACTCCACAACGAACCACAAACCAACCCTATTATTCATGCAACACATGCGAAGCAAAATATAATAATAATATAAAATCACTCACCAAATATCTTCAGTTTTCCGCTGCGTTTCTATATATTCCATCCATATAAACCCAAATTATAATAAATAATTTCATATCCATTCCATATACTGTAGATGGAACCATACGGTGGGATTAAAACAATGTGCCAAAAGTGCGATTCCCGAAGCCGTTTGAAGAACTAAAATTCCCTTTATATAATTTGATGTCAGTAGGTGGACAAAATTAGTTACCTTTTTATTGGTAAGTAAACTTCTGGAGCGCCCAAATATAACCCATGCCTTGCACAAGCGTGTTGACTGTTGATAGTACACGAAATACAACGAGAACGAAATAGAAAAAAAAAGAATGTAGAGAATAAACAAATGATATATTTCAGTGGTTTTCAAACAAACAATCCATATCCTAAGAAATTGTTCGATACATCTTTCGAAAATTACAAGAAGACAAATTCGGTAACAACTAGGGCTGTCCGAGCGAACCGAATATTCGAAATCGAATCGGATCGCAAATTATTCGACGCGTTTTTTGAGAGAACACAAGGAGAAAATAGCAAATTTTGTGTCAGCAAAAAACGCCAGTTCTATAAATACAATCGATTTGTAGCTGTTGCGTCAGTAATCATAGGAACATGGTACATGACTGAAACACGTTTTGAAGGTCCAATACCCTTTTCCAATAGAATTTGTAATTTCTTCTGATGGCAATACTTTGTTTCATCCATTTATTACTATGACAATTATGCAAAATTTTTGCAATAATTTAGATATAACTGCACATATGTTATCAAAATATTGAAGAGGAAGTTTTTTTTGTACATCAGAGACAAATTTAGGATTGCGCAATAATATTCGATTTCGGACAGCCCTAATAACAACGCGACGTTTTTTCCTCGTTAAATTTTGGCGTAATCGTGGATAGGTTTTGTCACCGAGATTGTTTTGGTGGCCGGCATTCCAATTAATGTTGTTAAACAATATTAAAGCCTTTTTTCATTCGCAAATATAAATTCTTACGCAAAGGCGGACATCGACGTTGGGTTTTTATATTTCATGCAATACTTTGAGTTCACATCAGCTAAAATGTTGAAGACTGCTATTAAGGAGTGACATCACAGCATAAATTTTAACCTCCATATTATACTTTGTAAATTACGGTTTTAATTTTAAGCAAGCAGAATTATCATTGCTGACCCTTGAATGTGGATATTTATTAAGCTTATAGTTGACTTTTTTATGTTTTAATTTTCTATTGTGTCCGTGTTACTTTGGTATTAAATAATAAAAAACTCCATAAATTAGGAACCCTGTAGGCCCCCGCTGGCTGCGCCCCTGGCCCTGGGTATACCCATTTCCAATCAAACACAAAGCGAGTCGATTCTTAATGCAAATGTAATAATACTTTAGAATCACTCACCATCCGAATAATAATCCCATTTCATATAGATCCATATAATAATAAACTGATCTACATCAACTTTTAGCTGAAAACTACTTCCTGACACAAATGGCAAATTTATCATATTCGTTTAAATAGGATAAATAAAAGTCTGATGTTTGATGAAGATTTTTGTTTTTTTTCGTACAAACGAGTGATTGCATTTTTAATTTGCTAAAGCAAGGTTACGCACACTCACTCAGACTGATCCCTGAACAAAGTTACCAACAACGACACCTGAAGTGCCATGAGCTAACAACTGTGAGTTGTAGTTCGTTCTCAACGTTAGTCTTATTTATGTAAAGAATACAATAATTATCGCAACTCTTGCAAAATTTCCTACATCCATTACAGAAATATGATATAGGCCTATATAATGTATAGGGTGTCCATAAAGTCTTAAACTCTTTTTAAATTGCAAAGAGAATTTATCTATACCATATATTGTTTCAGCCCTCGCAGATGTATTAAATGAAGTAAAAAATATTTGAACAATTACTGATTAGAAAACAACAAACCTGGTTGAGAATGAGATATATTGAGAACCGACTTGATAACAAAATTGAAATTGTAAAGGGACTTTATGGACACCCTGTATATATAGTACACATACACACTGTTTTATACATAATATTAATATGGCGCGAAGTATTGCTTTGTGATTGGTTGAATGTCTCGAAACCGAGACGACTAGGCATTTGCATACTTGAACCCATCTTGGTTTGTGAGTAAAAACCCTGAACTTATGCCTTATTTCAAGTTACGTCTATAGCAGTCGACGTTTCTGGTTGAATACATAAATAGAAAAATCTTGACTGCTGAACAATAAGTTTAACAAAGTTTACTTTTGGTAACTATTTTCATTATTTCATTTATCTTTCTCAAGCTATGAGTCACCGATTTAATGAGAAATATCTCAACGCACAATAGTAAACCCTGTCTCGAATAACAAACAATTCAATCCCAGACAGAGCGTTACAAGTTTATCGAATTGGAAAATTTATTTTACCCCGTTCGCTCACGCGGTCGATACATTTAACTCAGTGTTCCCACATAGGTATTTTTGCATTTTTTGCCCAAAACTGTTCTAATTATTCAGCGGCCATGGAGAAAACGGCATTGTTACTGAATATTAGTTTTAATTGATTAACATTCTAATTTTTATATTTGCGTTGTCTTTCATATCAGGTCTTATGAAAATTTGTTGTGAACACTCAGTATTTTTCCAGTTATACCTGGCGATATCGCAGTAAACCCACTATTTTAAAACCCTCTCGAGCGTAAACCGCCATGCATCGCACCAATGGTTATCAAAAACCACTCGTCAATGCTCGCTTTGCATGTGAAATATTTAAATAAAAATTTACTTTTCATATTTCAAACCAGTGGTTCTTTTTACCTCCAGAGTCAAATTTCAAACCGTAAAGTTGTAAAGAGGCCAATATTTCAAATAGGAACAAAATGTACGCATGTATTTTAAAACAATAGAGCGATTCTCAAATATATGTACACAAGTTAGTACTGGTATACAGTATGTCACAAAAGCCTTGCGGTACCAACAGTGATCACGACTTTGTCGGACCACAAGATCGCTGACGAAAATGGAGATTTGCGACAAGGAGCGCATTTTAATAATGACGTCATCGATCAAAAAAAATTTTAGAGCTCATAGATCTTTTCGAAATAAATGAAAGTGATAGCCTTCTAGCGAAAAATACCATCTTCAACCGCTGGAAATTTTATAGCAATTGGTCCAGCAGTTGAAAAAAGCGATTTTTCATAATGCCAAGAAGAAAAATACTAACATTATCAGCAACAACAAAACCATAGTTGCAATTCATGTTCAATGACAAGTCTTGATTCTCCCCTGTAGTAATTATATTACGCTATATGGCTTTTGCAGTGTCTCTTCTAAATAAAGGACGTAACACTGCTTAACCCCAAAGGGCAAAAACGGCTTTGCTATCCAAGGACGTGACGGCTACGATGGCATAAGGGGATGTTTACCAGACCTTTCGCCGCAGAAAAATTCTTTCTATACTTTGCCAATGCAAAATTTCCAAGGATTATTTCGAGAGTTCTTTTGCGAGATGGCACTTACAAACTGGGTTTCATGTTCATAACCATTGTATTTAAATCACTCAACCACCCGTCAGTTAAAAGTACTGGTAGAACATTTCAACTTAGTCTCGTATCGTATTGAAGTAACCTTGAGAATGTAATATGGCCACGTGCAAGAAAAATGCTTGGTAGTCACAATATGGTTCGCGTAACCGCTGGTGAAAAAGGCCTCATTTGCTAGCAAAACAATGGAACGTTAATGTGGTAGGGCTTTTTCGAAGGCTGGAAATCTGATGATCGGACGAGTCGTAAAATAGTGTTTGAGCTACTTTGTCGAATTCGGAAGACCAAATCTGTCTAGTTACCGAACTAAAAATAAACATATAAAATAATATATTTTAACTCACCCTCACACTTTGAGTAGTTCTGACCCAACACCGTTACATGTTGTTTAATCCGCTTCCCAAAGGTATAAACTGACCAAATTTTACATACTTTAGTCTGCTGTAACCACTCAACTACAGCCAGTACCAACTAAGCGACCACAAAATCTAATTTGCTATAAGACAGAAGTCAGAGTGAGTCCCTCCCAAATACAGACTGTTGGACTTGCCGTATCATGTTCATTTGTAAGCGGTAAGATTCGCTGCTGCTTTCACAACATTTTTGTCGGATTGAACTCCAGAAACAAAATTAGATTTATCCAGTATATTTAGTATTTTTGCAATTATTAAAATCCAATACATCACGAAATATAGGATGTTATATTTATTTTATTCTTTGATTTCGGAAATTAACTGGCAACACAAATTTCATTTACATTTAGTCATTGTGACGATTCTATGCTTATTACCGAACTATTATACCCAAACAATTGTGAGAAAGGGGTTGCCAGATGCGAACACGGCATGGACAGAATTTTTTTCTATTTCAGATTATTTGGTACATACCAATGGAAATGTGAAAATAAGATAGATCTTTCCCGAATATCGACTTTTTCGTTTATTCCCACAACAATGATCAATCGGCAATAACTTAGCGGTGATTCAACTAATGGGATAATAACTTAGTTGGGAAATCAAAATATAAAGTTAAGTTATTGCATTTGACAAACTCGCCTAGACCTAGAGATTCTAATGACCTTTGATTGGTATGTACGCATGATTGGGACATACCGTGTTTTGTCTAAAAAGAAGACCTAGCCTAAATTTTAAAAATGAATTTAATAGAAGCCTTTCCCTTAAAATTTCAAAGTTAGTTCCAATTTAAGTTTTCTGACTTTGCGAATGACCGTACTTTCCCGATGATTAGATTGCCGACAATGCAGTAGGTAGTAGGCTAAGGTCTCAGTTACAAAACACTGTTCGCTATATCCGTTAGAATGACGTCGAAAGCAAACGTCGTAACTCACCAACTTCAAACATACAAAAAGACTTGCAGCCTACCCCGTCCAAGAAAACAATTCGATTACTTATATTATTGCACATATTTATATAGTTATAAAATATACATTTTTACCGAAATTTTAGAGATTATTTAAGTTACGTAGTAAATGCATTTAAATATACACTTTACTTAAAGGCATATCAGAAACAGAGAGTGACCCAGAATCCAATAAGAATTTTCTCAATCAATTCTACTTAAATGAAAAATAATGTATTCAACATTGAATTTCTGTTTGTGCATCATTTCACCCAAAAGTATCAGCAATCTGGGACGCTTTGCACAAAAGTCAAGTTTAAGGTGACCTGGGTTCTGTTTTTGGGGTCACCATGTAATTACTGTCGATGGGGCTGTTCCAATAAAAACGCTAAAAAAAATTAAGCGAGTTTATAAGAGTCAGATAAAATATAACAGAATATAATGAAAAGTACAAAGTGAGGTCGATTTACAAAATATATAAATCAAAGAAGAAAAAAATGGAACTGAGGAATAATATAAGGAAGGGTAAATAAATGCAGTAACCTTAGCAAATAAAACATCAATTTTACTAGTTTGAGGTCGGAGCCGCCATGTTGCTGGGCCCAAAGCGCGATGGCCTGGTGTACGGGTCGGCAATCTTTAGAAACCCGTAAAACTAGTTGTTTCCATGAAGTGTGTTTAGACAGACTTGCGACCCATTTTTACCGTTCTCGACCCATACTTTTGGAACCGCTGTGATGCGTAATTACTGAGGAGTATATGGCTTCATGCCGCACTTTTCATTGAATCTTTACTGCTTTTAACAAAAAAAACTGCTATGTCGCTTTGATTTACGGGAGCCAGAACTCCGAGAACCAATTAGCCGCATGCGACTCAGGAGCCACGGACTGCTGATCGCTGGCCCAGAGCAACGTTTCTCAACCGGGGAGGAATTTCGATGTGATTGGGAAGAAATATCGCTTTGTATTTTGTGTGACTTATCGCAAATTTATTTAGTATTATTGTGATACGTGATTTTGGTTATGTTATAAACTGTTTAAACTGTGCTAAAGCCAGGGTACGAGTTGTGTGTGAAACTAGCTTCAGACCCTTCAAGATCGCACAAATAAAGGTAACAGAATTTCCATGCTTAGTGAGAGAGTATTAGAAATAAAGATTTCCAAAATAGGCAGAAGAAAAAATTTCCGAAAAAATATTGGTAACCACGGGCCTCCAGCTTATTAGTCCGACAATAACCCGAAAGGAAGGCCGCACAGTTCGTGTGTTAAAACCGGTGTCCTTTTTAAATGGCTCAGAGTTGGCCGAGGTTGAAATAGTATTAGCTGTTTCTTCCTCATTTACCGATGGGAGAATAGGTCAGGAGGCTATTTCTTTTTGATTTTACATTGTTTATGATTCCAATACAACCGTAAAGAGTTGGTAGCTGGAGCGTTTGTCGAAATTTGTTCTTTAACCTGTGGTCGGAAACTGGTGTCAATTTTTAATTGCTCAAGGTTGGGCGTAAAATTTCTTCGACTCTTCTTCCCAGGTTGAATTAGTATTAGCTGTTTCTCTTTCATACAAAATGTGAATACTGTTTGCAAGGTTTGAACTGCGAGTACCGGCACATCATGCAGAATTCTTTCTTCCCGATACCTGAAATACAAGGGAATAAATAACTACTGAAGAGTGCTGCGTTGGTAAATTTTCAATCTTGATCCTAAATATGTATTGATACTGACTCAACGTTCATAAAAATCATAAAACCCCCGGCCCCGGAAATAATTTTAGAATATCAAAACTTCTGTGTTGAGTGACCCAAGTCTGTACTTTTTTGGAGAGGTATGGACTACGAAACAAGAGTGGCCATCTGTGCGTAAAGGGAAACACCCCTATGGTAGAACAGAAATCAAGTTCCAACAAATGGAAGCACATAAGGAACCCGGAGACTAGAGCGAGATCTGACAAGCAATAAAAAGTTACTAAATATCAAACAGTTTTAGGGGTTGGCAATTACTTTTCAGAATGGGCCAGAGTTTAATGCCGCAAGTCAAAAGCGATACTGGTAGTAAAGGACCGTACGATGAATTTGTGGCGACTCTTGTGAGAAGAAGTGTCGAATCTACTTTAAAACATACCTTTAAAATATCCGCAAGAATGAGCGTATTTCACCGTGTATCTCATCCTTTTGCAGAATCGTTTGCAATATTTAATCGTCAACGGAGGAGAGAGAATAATCTGTGGGAATGAAAATTTGTTTTAGCTATTTCGCTCAGAACAAACCTTTATTACAGACATGGGCAAAGTACGGCCCACGGGCCAAACCTGGCCCGTTGGGTGATTCAGTCTGGCCGCCTGATACCGCCACAACCAAACTGAAACCAAATTTTGATGTTTTAGCTAAAAAAAGCTCAAGGAATTTGTTGAAAATGCGGTTGAATTTAGTTTTGGCACGGGGCCTATTGTTTTCCACTGTTGCTTTCGTAACATTGTAAATATTGTTCTTAAAATGTAACCTTTTACGTTATACTTGTATGCCCCGCCAGTCTAAATGGACAAAATTTTTGGCCCCCGTTCCAAAAACTTTGCTCACCCCTGTTCTATAAGTTTCCACTGAGAGAGAAATTGTATATTGTGCTAACCAAAATAAAATCAATTATCATGATATAAGACTATGGTCTGCGTATTTGAGCCTTTCTATCGGCTGTTCTGTTTTGTGTGTTGTACACTTTGGTTTGAAAAATGATTAAAACGTCCTATCGGTTTTCCTCTCATTCGGGATGAACTCAAAATAAAATAATTGATTCTACCCTAATGGTAGTTGCATTATTATCTGTTGCGATGGTAACGTCTCATCGGCTTTTCTTATCTTTGAAGATTTTGAAAAAGGTTTATCCAATCGGCAACGGCCACCTGCATACTGACCCTGGGTGTGTACTTTAGTTGTGAGCGTAGTCGTCGTAGTTCTGGTGGTTGGAGTAGTTGTGCTAGCTGGAGTAGATACAGTAGCCCGAATTGTCGTGGCAGTGCTGGTAGCTGGAGTCGTTCTTGTAGTAATCGGAGTGGTTGATGTGGTAGTCGGAGTGGTTGCTGTGGTAGTCGGCGTGGTTGTTGTGGTAGTCGGAGTGGTTGTTGTGGTAGTCGGAGTGGCTGTTGTGGTAGTTGGAGTGGTTGTTATGGTAGTCGGAGTGGTTGTTATGGTAGTCAGAGTGGTTGTTGTGGTAGTCGAAGTGGTTGTTGTTCTAGTCGGAGTGGTTGTTGTTGTAGTCGGAGTGGTTGTTGTGGTAGTCGGAGTGATTTTTGTGGTAGTCGGCGTGATTTTTGTGGTAGTCGAAGGGGTTGTTGTTGTAGTCGTAGTAGTAGATGGCGAAAGTGAGGTTGTATGTTCTATTACATTTATCCATTGCACATCTGGATATAGGTGTAGTGGGGGCATTGGCTCTGTGTGTTTCGACACAATGTTGGATTCGGAGTGAGTCGGGTAGAGGTGTGTCGGAGGCGTTGGTTCAATGTCTTCCGATAAAAATTGTATTGTTGTATTTTGTTTAATATCTGTCAATGGGGTGGGCTTTGTTCCTTCTTCATTTCGCGTTAGCACTTTTATTGATGTTGGGTTTGGATTTCTTTTTGAAATAGGTAGCCCCGGTAACGGTATTCGGTATTTAGATTTTGTTCTTTTGATTGGGTCGGTGTCTCTGTGTTGCGAGCTATAGGCTTTATCAGCAACCAATTTGATTCGTCTGTGGTGGAAGGAGTGAATTTTATAGTAGTATCCGGTATAACTTGTATTGTGGTCTCTTTCGTGGATGGTGATGTCGCAGTCTCTGTTTTATTCATCTTTGTTGTTTCTTTGTCTATAAATGCAAGTGATGTGGTCTCTGGTACAGGAACGCAGAACTGCAAAAATATTTTTATATCTCAAAAAATATTCAATATTGGGCTTGTTAAAAGCATTGTTCGTAACGTAGGACTGAATAAAGACGATAAGACGACTAAGTCCTATAAATCGAACCCCGGCCACTCGTCCCGTTACCAGTCCTAGTCGGGTATAGGATTAGTTGGCCAGTTATTTTATGGCACGACCAGCGGTAGTAAGGGAAACTCGAGTATCACTAACACTGCTCAGAACCCAAACAATAGTTCATATTGGAGCAAGGGATCATTCAACTGTATGGGACGGGGTCCCTAATACCCTTACCCCACGTTTACCATCGGGGTGGAATTCTTCACCGTGGGACAATATTGATATTTCTAGATAGCAATTTCTCTTTGTATTCGCTGGGGTATTACTTATATTCTTTAGTGCTTTACCATTACTATATTACTCACATTATAAACTACCAGTATGTATACAGATGCGGTGAGAGGTACTCCGTACAATGTGTATCAGGTTAGGGTTAGGCCATAAATTCATGCCACTTCTGCTTATTATAGGTCTCCCACAAGTTTGGGACTGTCTGTGTTAGCCAAATGAATATCCTATCCCCCTGCCCATAGGTTTCAGTCCCTTTACACAACTTGATGTAAAGTGGGCGAACAATATTAGTTACCTCCATATTGGTACACACACTTCAGGAGCGCCGAGACTTGTGACATAACTCTAACAATCCATGAAAGATTGAATAACAAGTAGAAACAGGCGAAAGGAGGAATTTAACTTAAAAGGTTGGGAACCACTGCACCGACCTTTATCTTTTTGCATTCTTTTCTCATTTTTCTTCCTTTCCGGCACAAAGTCTTATCCAATGCGGGTTGCCAGATTGCTGATCTTCGACTTTTTTTTCTGAAAGAAAAATCGACAGTTTATTTCTAGATCATCGAGGTCATACCGATGGACGGGAGGTTGGGGCAACTTGTGTTGCTTATCGGCCTTGTTCCACGCTTGTAAATGATATCCTTTTTTTTTTTTTTTTTCGAATGAAACAACTAACGTATAAGCCAAAGTTCATTCTGGTTTAAAATATAACTTTGTAAACTACTTTATTGGCTTTCGTCTCCTCTGGCAATAAGACTTGGACATATGCTTACACCAACTATTGTCAAAGTTCGACTCGGTTTTAAGTTTTATTTGCAGACACGGCCCGTCACCTAGACAAGTTTTCACATCTAAGTGAAGATAAATTTTGTGTTAGCTACGCTATTGTATTAATGACTTATTCTATAATGCCTTGTTCGGGGCAAAATGTGGAATAAGCGTAGCTACATATAGAATAAAATTTCCCCACCTGCAAGTAACTCCAAATTCCGATTCTGTCTTCATATTAATAAACTCATGAGGAACGAATCCATCCCTACACGTCAAAGTGCATTTCGAACCTGCTTTGCGACTTTCAGAGCATTTGATGGTTTTCACTTTGTTAGGCAGTGCTCTGCATTTGATATCTGTAGAGTTCGATAGTGGAAAGAGCGTAGGATTTAAATATTCAAATAATTTATATTTAAAATGTATGACGTAACATTTGATGACATCATTGATTTGTTGTAGGGATTATTTAGAATTGATTGAATTGACGACGACGCGATGATGGCGTAATATTTAATGACATCACTGACTTATTTTAGGGATCATTTAAATTTAATTAATTTGATGGCCTAATGATGACAAAATCGAAGTTCAGAGTTCGGAATTTCCTCCGATTTCACTGAACGAGAGACAGTAAAAGATTCGTCCAAACATAAAATCAACATATTTGACGTCATATCACCAAGACGTCATAGGTAACGTCAAGTTGTTCGTCTGTAATTATTATTAACTATTTCCTACCTGGAGGTTTTTCAACTTTGTAGTCCAGTATAAACGACCCTGCATCTTTTTGTACCATGATTTTAAGATACTTTACGCCGCGAATTTTGATCTCTTTTTCCGGCAAATTTCCTGTTAATACCCGGTATGTTTTCCATGGTGATTTCAAGTTCTTTTTTATTGTCTCGATCTACATTATAAAAATACGAGCTATAAATTTCCAGACTTTGAGTCGTTGAGTCATGGATCCTACTGTAGAATAAATTGAAGGCTGAATGAGAGGTACTGGTCAAATATGAAGCGTCGAATTGCCTTTGACTACTCTTGGTGATAAGGGTACCCTCGCCAGTCAGTACCAGTGGCCGGTATTCATAAAAATGAATACAAATGAAAATTACAACACGATAATATAGAAGAACAGACATAATGGGTCTGCTCTATGCGAGCGAGCAAACAAACAATTTTGGTGTGTACCAATATGAAAGTAACTTATCTTGTTCGCCTACTTTACGTCAAGTTGTGTAAAGAGACTGAAACTTATTGGCAGGCGGATTATTCACTTGGCTGACACAAACAGTCCTCGAACTCGTAATAGAACTAAAATGAAGAAAATCGGAATAAAATTAGGGCCAAACCCTAACCTGGTACACACACTTCGGGGGGACTCAATTTTTATGCCAAACGTTATCACCGAGGACTTTTAGTCATATATATCTGTTTTTAAATTGGCCTCAAATTTTGCGCCACTGAGTAATACTGCGCAATGCAACCCATACTTCTATGTAGTTTCAGTATTTCATCACATTTCAGCGGTAGCTTTGCTCAGATACGAGTCTACTTCACTTCTGAGTGAGTGCCCATAACTTTGCCCAGACATGAATCTCCTTTACTTCTAAGTGAGTGCCCATAACTTTGACCAGAGATGAATCTTCTTTACTTCTGAGTGAGTGCCCATAACTTTGCCCAGAGATGAGTCTTCTTTACTTCTGAGTGAGTGCCCATTACTTTGCCCAGAGATGAGTCTCCTTTACTTCTAAGTGAGTTCCCATAACTTTGCTCAGAGATGAATCTCCTTTACTTCTGACTAAAAGCACGTAACACAGTAGCTCAGTAGGCTTTGGTATTTCAGTGAGTGAGTTCATTTCCTTTTTTGAGTGAGTGAACTCGCTGAACTGTGCAGGTGATTATTAAATAGGAATATCTACTTTTATTCCCGGCGCTTCTATTTCAATGTCCGTGAAGATGAGAGTCAGCGATTTCATGTTGATATTTTTAGCGTAAACGCATTCTGTAGTGAGATTCAATCCGTCCGTGTAAAAGATTGCAAAGCTGTCTGTTGTTAATCATTTGGAAATACAACGTTCCCTAATTGCTCCAATAGATAGTGTTGGCACGAAGATATATCGGTTACTGAAATAAAATTTATTGTTATTGTTAGAGAGCACGAAATGTTCATATGGATCGTCCTGTTATTATGTTATTGTTTTTCTTGTTGGTACTTCTTTTCTAGTTGTTATTAAAAATCGTCTTTCTCATTAACTACTGGACTAATTGCTTTGAAATTTCGAGTGGTCGAAGATTGTATTTTGTAACAAAGAGCTATCACTTTTAGCTATTTCAAAACTCTCTATGGGTTTTAAGGGATTCGCTTTCCCACTCCAAATTTTTGTGTGGTGACGTCATAATAATTAAAAATGAACGCTACCATAATCAATTTTATTGCCGTTATTGTTTCTTTGGACAGTTACAAAATTAGCCAAATAAGTATTTTAATAATTGCACGAATAGGTCACCGAGAACTTAAGTTTCTCTCCCGGAGCCCTGTTGCTATGTATTGAGCAATTTGAGAACTTACATTCTAGAGCAGTGTTCTTCAACCTTTTTTACTATATATCTTACAACAGTAGGTCCCAAACTTTTTTTTTGCGACCCCAATTTACATAAAATCGAATCCTACAGATACTCGCGACCTCACAATTAGAAACGTTCAGGACAGCAACTCCAAAAATCAGTATTTTGAATTTAATTACTCCAATGTGCCTGTATATCGACTGCAAGTGAACGTGGACGGTGAACATTAAAATTATAACAGCTCTTCGGCGAAACATAGGCAGACTTGATAAAACTTGGTAGATTGTAAGGAAGCGTGCGATACTTCGGAAATAGTAAGATTGCATAAATTTGAAATATTATTAGGTATATTTCAACAGTGTATTTTTATTTTTAGTTCAATGTTAATATATTACAGATTACTCCATTATTAATTCGGAAGTAAAACATAGCATAGGAGTAAAAT